GAGGTACTTCAGGCCTTCAAACGATGCGGCGGAATATTTCAACACAGTGTATGAATTTACCAAATTTTCTTTTTGCTACTGCATGCCTTGTAACTGTCAAGTTCATTGTTTACAGATACAGACATAATGTAGCAAAGCTAATGAACGAATTTCCCTCAAAAGTAATGCCATGAAGCAGATTTCCTCTTGAGAAGGCTCAGCTCCTTAAGAGATTCCTCAGATTTTATGGAACCCAAAGGTACACTGTCATGTTCACAAAATTCTATACTCAAGCACTCTCCTAAGCCAGATGAATTCAGTCCATATTCTCACATGCTACTACTTTAAGATCCATTTCAATATTATCTTATTTAGGTTCAGTTCCCCAAAGTGGCCTCTTCCCTTCATTTCTGTTTTCATGCATACATGCACCTTGAATGTATGAGGGGTAGGCTTTCTCGGGCCTTGCACCGCGATCTACAGTGGTCTATTGCACCTTACTTTTAGCTCAGAATGACTCCCAGCCCTTATATCCACATCTGTGTAGTACACAGAGCTAGTAGGACTATATGGTATTGTAAGGATAGCAGGACTATAACTGAACCACACCCAGTATATTGACATTATCTTTTTAATAAAGCCCATAAAAGGGGAAAATAAGTAATTAGTAAAATATATCCTTACAGTGTGATACCAGATGGTACTACTGAACATCAGATTAAGACTACCATAGGGCAGCGCCATAACTCAAGCGGTTAGTCACTGGATTCCCACTGCGGAGGGCCAGGTTCAATCCCAGGTCTGGTCAAGTGGGATTTGTGGTGGACAAAGTGGTGGTGGGGCAGGTTTTCTCTGAGTACATCGGTTTCCCCTGCCCATCTTCATTCCACCAACTGCTCCACAAACACCCTCACCTATAATCTGGGGCTGGTACAATAGGCCAGAGGTGGCCACAGTACAAGGGACTTTGTCCCACCCCACTAGCAATAAAGAAAAAAGACTACCATATGAAATGAGAGTCTAAATTATATTCCTTACTGCATGAATGAATAGCACATATGACTTATCTGTTCTATGTCCATCTGCTTGCTTTCATGTGTGGATGCTCAGACAATTTCAGTTACCTTCTACTCATCTGTACTGCTGATTCATTTCACACAGAGGTAAGGGCAATGTTAAAAGGACATATTAGCAATTTATTTATATAGACATGTCCACGACCCATCTGCACATGCTGAGTAACATCTATCATTGAAATAGAAACAGTAGGTGAGTTATGAAATGCCTACAGGCAAGTCATTCTCTTAGTGAACCTACAGAGTTTCCCAGAATAATATTACTACATATTTTGGGCCTTCCATTCTTGATCTATAGCATGTTATAGAGGAAAATCACAACA